AAATGAGCCATTGTCACTGAAAGGGTTGCCTGGGTTTTTTTTTTTTGTACCAAGATCCTTGGAAATAAAAGGCTAATGTCCTGATTAGTACCTTTCTTTCCCATCTGAGGAGCACCCAGGAGAATGTCTGCTTCAGTACTGTAGATCCAGGTTGGCCTCCTATATCCTGCAGCTAATAGTGTCTGGGGCTCCAGGACACTGATGAGCCAGAACCCAAAGAAGGGAAAGCAGTTGGATAGGTTGGAGAGGCTTGGCTCTGTTTTTCTGACAGTTTGCTCTGAAAATCAGCGTAGGTATGGTGGGGATGGCTGCAGTTATAGCTCAGAAGAATGCTTACCTAGCATGTATGAAGCCATTCCCAGGACTACATAAAACCAGCTATAGTGATGCATAACTGCACTTAGGAGGTAGAGACAGGAAGAACAGAATTTTAAGGACATCCTCACAAATGTATCTAGTTTGAGGCCAGCCTGGGTTACAGGAGACCTTGCTAATGAATGAATGAATCAGTAAATGAATAGTATTGGGAAAGGATAATGAAAGAATTTGTTGACAATCAAAATACTCCCCTGCCCTCGTTTTTGTCCTCCCTTGAGATAGCCTCCCAAGTAGCTGTAACTATAGGCCCAAGCCAAACCTCCTGGCTTAAAATCACCAGTTCGTATATGGCATCTGCCAATTTGAAATTGAGCATTATAATTTGAGTTAGTAAAACCTATGGTTTTGGGGGTAGGGTTTAAAAAATGAGGCTTATGTTCATATTTGTTACATGATATTAACATGTTTTAATGTTACTTGGCATAGTTAAATGTTTGGCTTCCAAGGCTGGCTATATGGCAGTCTTGGCCATAGAGTGGCTGGAGTTTATTTATTCCATAGAAATTATCTCACATCAACTTCGACTCTTGGGCATCAGTAGAATAGGAAGACTGGGAAGCTTGGAGGAAGTGGGGCTTTTCTGTTTTCAGGGTTGCAAAGCACTGTTGTGTATTTGGAGACAACTAGCAGAATCATCATGCTGCTTGTTCATCCTTGCTGATGAAAGACAGGCTTGAACAGAGCTGCCTGGCCACTCAGGTGTGTCCCATGGGTCCTGTCAGCCATTTGGCTTCCGCCTCTGAAACGTATCCTGGTCTGTGCCAACCCCGTGAAGTCTTTGCAAGTAGTTTCTCTTTGGCTGACTTTGGCTGGCCCTCCATTCCAGACTTTTCATCGCCTCCCCCTCTGTCAAACCTATCTTCCTTCTGTCCCATATGAGTACCCATTCCAGTAATGGTTGTTGAGATGGAATGGGGTTCAGGAAACATTCTTAGGTGGATAGAGACCCTGCTTCACAATTCAACTCACCAACTCTGTTACCCCCGCCCCCCAACTACTACCTACCATTCCTGTAAACTATCTCATGGGTTCCTCATGGTTCTAGGAACATGCCGTTTGCTTGCTCCTTACATCTTTGCATCACTTACTTTTGTTTATTTTACTACAGAATAAGAACCCAACCTTTGCTTTTTTGTGTTTACGTGTGGATGTAGAAGTTTTCATAGCTAACATAAGTGAACTGAAAAAAAAGCTTAGCCTTTTCAGCCAAAACAATTGAAATATGTATTATTTTTTGTAGCTAAAATGATTTTTTTGAGGCAGGGCCTCCCTGTAGCCCCAGCTGTCCTGGAACTCACTATGTAGACCAGGCTGGCCTTGAACTCACAGAGATCTCCCTGCCTCTGCCTCCCAAGTGCTGGGATTAAAGGTGTGTGCCAGTACGCCTGGCTTTTTTTGATCTTTTTGAGACAGGGTCTCCCTGTAGCCCCAGCTGACCTGGAACATGCTGTGTAGACCAGGCTAGCCTTGAACTCACAGTGATCCGCCTGCCTCTGCCTCCCGAGTGCTGGTGTGGGGACTAAAGACATGTGCCACCATGCCTGGCCTTTTTTTTTTTTCTTTTTTTTTTGAGACAGGATCTCCCTGAAGACCAAGCTGGCCTCCATTTCACAGAGATCCTCCTGCCTCTGCCTCCTGAGTGCTGGAACTACAGGCGTGCACCACCATGCCCAGCTTGTAGCTAAAATGACTTTTAAGGAAAGTATAGTTAGTGCTTTTCATGGATTTGGAAGGCTTGTTTATTATAGCTATATTAACATTTCTGTTTGAATGACAAAGTAGGAGATTCTTTGGTACATTAATGGTCCACTGTAAAGTTGGTGAGGTCACAAAAAAAGCAAACAAACACCATGAAAAACTAAATCTTTAGTGAGTGGTTCAGAGAGTAATAAGAAAGTACCCTCACTGGTGGTTATCTCCTCATAATCTCAGGTTGACGTCTACTCTCAGGTTGGTAATAGTGTATCTGAACCAGTTTGAGGTTGGGAAAGTAAAATGTCTCTGGTGTAAGGTTCCTGCCTAGACACCTGTGTCCTGGTTGCAAATCTCAAATTTGAACTGGGGTCCCCTACAAACACGCAGGTTCCTAGGAAAACCTAGATAACTGCAGCCACTGGGGAGCCCAGCAGACGTGGCTTTAGCCCTCATGCCACCGGAAAGGCAGCATTTTAGTCTGTGTTAGCAAGTCATGGCCTTAAAGAATATCTCTGAGGCTGGCGATGGAGCTGTACCTTCTTTTGGCTCTTGCATCTCTGGACTTGGAGACAGAACCATTGGGTTGAAATGAAAGCACTTTCAGTTTGAGCAGAGAATGAGTGCCTTTTATTGCATAAGAGACAGGAGTAGATGTTCTACAAAGGTGAGAGGAGCTACAGATGGGGTCTGGGCAAGAGGCAAGTATTAATTTCTCTCTTGTCAGCTGATAGAAGTTTCTGTGGGTGGGATTCCTTCTTAAGGGCTTTGAATATTTCCAGTTATGTCATTGTGGAAAAGGACTTCCACACTGAAAGAAGTTTGAATGCTGCTTTTGGAGATGTTAGATGAGCTTTTCAAAAATTTTCAAAATTTACTTTTATGTGTATGAGTGTTTTACTTGTATGTATGTAAGTGCTCCTGTGTTGTGCAAAGTCCACAGGTGCCAGAAGGGGTATCAGATCCCCTGGAACTAGAGTTATACAGGTGGTTTTTAGCTGCCATGTGGGTGCTGGAAATTGAACCCAGGTCCTCTTTAAGAGCAGACAGTGCTCTTAACAGCTCAGTCATCTTTCTAGCCTGAGATGAGCTTCTTAGGACTGACTCTTCTATGTCAAGGGCATAAGCAGTTTGTGTTTCTTTCTCATACCTATTTGACTAGAGAACTTTTAAAGACCAGAGATGACTTTTTTTAGAGCCCCAGTTGACCTGGACTTTGCTGTGTAGACCAGGCTACAGATCTTACAGAGATCTGCCTGTCTGCCTCCCAAATGCTGGGATTAAAGGCATTGTGCCATCATGCTTGGCTTTTTTGTGTGTTTTGTTTTGGAGACAGGTTTTCATATATCCTAGGTTGGCCTCAAACTCACTATGTGCCACCATGTCGAGTTTATGCAGTGCTGGAGATTGAACCCAGGGCTTGGCGTCTCTTAGGCAAGCACTCTTATTAGTTGAGCCCAGTCCTGAGACCAGTCTTGAGATTCCTTTGGCAGACACTGTTCTAGAATAGTTGATCCTAGTTCCCCTACCTTGGATACTTCAGGTTTTCTTGGGGATTGAGAAGCAGGATTGAGAAAGGAGTTACGACTAACTGTATTTGCTACAAAAGTATGTTCCTTACCCTTGTATATATAAGCAGTGATTGTAAAGCAAGTCATTTTGGTATGTTGACCTTCCTTATACCTAGACTTGTGTGCTTTTCCGCTTGTGTGCAGGCAAGGCACTCCAGGCCAGTTATAGGACCTAAGCAAAAGCATGGTGTCTGTGGAGGGTAGTAGGGAGGCTAGAAAGAAGCTTTAGGCTGGGATAAGGTATTCTGACTTGATTCTGCAGGTAGAGAAGGCAAGTAGGTGGTGGCTGTGTCACTTGCAAAAGTCCACAATATTCTTTGTTTTTTGTGCTTTCACTGGTTTTCTTTGTTTTTAAAGATTTTTGTTGTTGCTTTTGTTTTTTTGAGGCAGGGTCTGACTATGTAGTACTGGCTGGTCTGGAGCTCACTATGTAGACTAGGCTGGCCTTGAACTCAGAGATGTGCCTGCCTCTACTTCCCAAGTGCTAAAGGTGTGCACCACCATGCCTTGCAAGATTTATTTTTATTTGTGTGTGTGTGTGTGTGTGTGTGTGTGTGTGTGTGTGTACCTGCATGATATATGCACGAGGGGCGGCGCTAGCGCTCAGAGATGGCTGCCTCTACTTCCCCCGTGCGAAAGGTGTGCGCCACCATGTGTTGCACGATATATTTTTATTTGTGTGTGTGTGTGTGTGTGTGTGTGTGTGTGTGTGTGTACCTGCATGAAGTTATGTGTACTGCATGCTTGCATGCAAGGTGGGCACAGATGCCAGAAGGTGTTGGATCCTCTGGAACTGGAGTTAAAGGAGCCTGTGAGCTTCCCAGTGTGGGATGCTGGGAACTGAGTTCAGGTCCTCTGGAAGAGTAGCCAGTACCTGTTCTTTACTGCTGAGTCATCTCTCTAGTCCTGTTGGTTTGTTTTTAGAGATGGGGTCTTGAACTGTAGCCAAGGCTGCCTTTGAACTCATGGAAGTTCTCCTACCTCAGCCTCCTGACTGCCGGAATTACAGGTATGCACTACTATGACCAATGAAAATTCACAGTGTTTTTAATTGTCATGGCATCTTCTTTGGAATGAGGTGTGTTTGTGTACCAGCACTGATGTTCCCCCAATGCATGGCCTCTGGTGAATTATCTTCCTTCCATGCTAGTCCCACTGGTAGTCCCAGTCCTTCATGTCATATGATTGGGAACTACTGGTCTCCTCTGGAGGATATGAGATATATTTCCCAACAGGAATTCTGAATTATTCCTTTAGCCTATCAAATAACTCAGGCTAGGCCAGTGGTTTATTGTGGTGATAACTTTTAGGTTATGCAATGATGATAGGACTTACATCTCATGCTTTTTTTTTTTCTAGGTATCTGCAGCAGGGAAGGAGGCCTTGCCATCTTGGCTACATTGGGACCCACAGAGTCACACCTTAGAGGGCCTTCCCCTTGACACTGATAAGGGTGTACATTACATCTCAGTCAGTGCTGCACGGCTTGGGGCCAATGGGAGCCATGTCCCCCAGACCTCCAGTGTGTTCTCTATTGAGGTCTACCCTGAGGACCACAATGAACCACAGTCTGTGCGGGCAGCCTCACCAGACCCTGGTGAGGTAGTATCATCTGCTTGTGCTGCTGATGAGCCTGTGACTGTTCTGACAGTGATTCTGGATGCTGACCTCACCAAGATGACCCCAAAGCAAAGGATTGATCTCCTGAACAGGATGCAGAGCTTCTCAGAAGTAGAACTTCACAACATGAAGTTAGTGCCGGTAGTGAATAATAGACTGTTTGACATGTCAGCCTTTATGGCTGGCCCAGGAAATGCCAAGAAAGTGGTAGAGAATGGGGCTTTGCTGTCCTGGAAGCTAGGCTGCTCTTTGAACCAGAATAGTGTGCCTGACATTCGAGGTGTGGAAACCCCTGCTAGGGAGGGTGCTATGTCTGCCCAGCTTGGTTACCCTGTGGTGGGTTGGCACATTGCCAATAAGAAACCCACTCTTACCAAACGAATCCGGAGGCAGATCCATGCCACACCCACACCTGTTACTGCCATTGGACCCCCAACCACAGCCATCCAGGAACCACCTTCCAGGATAGTGCCTACCCCCACATCTCCAGCCATTGCACCTCCAACAGAGACCATAGCTCCTCCTGTTAGAGATCCTGTTCCTGGGAAACCCACGGTCACCATTCGGACTCGAGGTGCCATTATTCAGACCCCAACCCTGGGCCCTATCCAACCTACTCGGGTGTCAGAAGCTGGCACCACAGTTCCTGGCCAGATTCGCCCAACATTGACCATTCCTGGCTATGTGGAGCCCACAGCAGTTGTTACTCCTCCAGCATCTACCACCAAAAAGCCACGAGTATCCACTCCAAAACCAGCAACGCCTTCAACTGATTCTTCAGCTACTACGACTCGCAGGCCAACCAAGAAACCACGGACACCCCGACCTGTGCCCCGGGTCACCACTAAAGCTCCCATTACCAGATTGGAGACAGCCTCCCCACCTACTCGCATCCGTACCACCACCAGTGGAGTACCCCGAGGGGGAGAACCCAACCAGCGGCCAGAGCTTAAAAACCACATTGACAGGGTCGATGCTTGGGTGGGTACCTACTTTGAGGTGAAGATCCCATCAGACACCTTCTATGACAATGAGGATACCACTACTGATAAGCTCAAGTTGACCCTGAAGCTGCGAGAGCAGCAGCTGGTAGGCGAGAAGTCTTGGGTTCAGTTCAACAGCAATAGCCAGCTCATGTATGGCCTGCCTGACAGCAGCCATGTGGGAAAGCATGAGTATTTCATGCATGCCACAGACAAGGGGGGTCTGTCTGCTGTGGATGCCTTTGAGATCCATGTTCATAAGCGTCCGCAAGGGGACAAGGCTCCTGCAAGGTTCAAGGCCAAGTTTGCAGGTGACCCAGCACTAGTGGTGAATGACATCCACAAGAAAATTGCCTTGGTGAAGAAGCTAGCCTTTGCCTTTGGGGACCGAAACTGCAGTACCATCACCCTCCAGAATATCACCCGTGGCTCCGTTGTGGTTGAATGGACCAACAACACTCTGCCCCTGGAGCCCTGCCCCAAGGAGCAGATCATAGTGCTGAGTCGCAGGATTGCTGATGAAAGTGGGAAACCTCGGCCTGTCTTCTCTAATGCCCTGGAGCCAGACTTTAAGGCCATGAGTATTGCTGTGACAGGCTCAGGCAGCTGTCGGCACCTCCAATTTATCCCTGTGGCACCACCCTCTCCAGGCACCTCAGCAGCACCAGCCACAGAGGTGCCAGACAGGGACCCTGAGAAGAGCAGTGAGGATGATGTTTACCTGCACACAGTCATTCCAGCTGTCGTGGTTGCAGCCATCCTGCTCATTGCTGGAATCATTGCCATGATCTGCTATCGCAAGAAGCGGAAGGGCAAGCTGACCCTTGAGGACCAGGCCACCTTTATCAAGAAGGGGGTGCCTATCATCTTTGCAGATGAGCTGGATGACTCCAAGCCCCCACCCTCTTCCAGCATGCCACTCATCTTGCAGGAGGAGAAGGCCCCTCTCCCGCCTCCTGAGTACCCTAACCAGAGTGTGCCCGAGACCACTCCTCTGAACCAGGACACTGTGGGAGAGTACACGCCCCTGCGGGATGAGGATCCTAATGCACCTCCCTACCAGCCTCCCCCACCCTTCACAGCCCCCATGGAGGGCAAGGGCTCCCGTCCCAAGAACATGACCCCATACCGGTCACCCCCTCCGTATGTACCCCCTTAACCCACAAGCGCCTGGGTGGAGGCAGGAGTAGGGCAGGGGTCTGGAGACAACTCGGTGTTGTCTGTAGAGACAGGTGAACCTCAGACTACCGCCCACTGGTAGCCAACACCCGACCTAGCACACTGACACACGGGGCCTGGACAAGCCCACCCTCTCTGGTCCTCCCAAACCCCAAATCTGCTGGAGAGACTTTGGGGACTTTTTATTTTTATTTTTTGCCTAACAGCTTTTTGTTTGTTCATAGAAAATTCTTCGCTGCGTTTTTGATGGCTGGCTCTGAAAGCACTGTTGAGCAGAGGTAGAAGGAGGGAGCGAGGAACCGTGAATGAACTTGCAGGCAGTGCTGGGTATCCCCAGCTCTCTGCGTTTTGCCTTTAACACTAACTACTGTTTTTTCTATTCACGTGTGTCTAGCTGCAGGATGTAACATGGAAAACAGTAGCTAAAGATTAAATTCAAAGGACTTTCAGAAGTTAAGGTTAAGTTTTTACATTTAATCTGCTGTTTACCTAAACTTGTATGTATAATTTTTGGGGTGGGTATGGGGAATTGCTTTGCTAAAAATAAGCTCCCAGGGTGTTTCAAACTTAGAGAAGACCAAGGGACAGTATTTTTTATCAAAGGAATCCTATTTTTTCACACTATGTCAACTTGGTTGCTCTGATACCCCAGAGCCTGACTGAGGGCCTCCTGGTCCTGGCTCTGGTGCCAGGGCCCTGGTGCTGGGTTTGCTCTCCCGCTGTTGGCCAGGGGCTGGAAGCTGGAGGGACCTCTTGGGCCATGGACATCCCGACCTCCACCCCATGCACCCTAGTGGCCCACCACCAAGGGGGGGTCTTCATTTCCATGGAAAAGGGACTCCAAGAGGCATTGGTGGCTGTGGCCCCCAACCTAGGTGCTCCAAGGTGGGCCAGCTGCTCATGGGGGCACCTGGGAAGGTCGAAGGACTCGACCACATCAACCCATTTTCTTTCTCCCTTCTCTGTGGGTTTTTGTTTTGTTTAGTTTTTCTTTGCTTTTTTCCTTCCCTCCTAAAAGGAATGTCATGGTTTTTGAAACACTCAGTGGGGGACATTTTGGTGAAGATGCAATATTTTTATGTCATGTGATGTTCTTTCCTCACTTGACCTTTGCCACTTTGTCCCGCCTGTCCACAGCCCAGTCCAGCATACCCCATCCCTTTTCTCTGGCGCTCCAGTCCCAGGCCTTGGGCCTGAAATACTGGAAAAGGTCTGGTGACTGGGGAGGAGTGCCAGCAATAGTTCATAGTAAAAATCTGTGGGCTCTCAAAGCTAATTTTTTACTAAAGTTTTTATACAGCCTCAAATTGTTTTATTAAAAAAAAAAAGATTAAAAACGGTGATACTTAACAGCAGTTTGTACGAGCTCTTAGTGTTGATTCCTTGGAACTGATGGCTTTGCTCATTTTGATTTCCCCCCTTTTCCTAATGGGTTACATTTTGGACATACTTGGAGGCCTCTTTTGCCTTTTTTAGCAGAACATCCATCCATCCATCTGCATCTCTGTCCCATGACTCAGGGGCACCCACTCCACTTTTATTTCCCTTCCTTTGGAAGAAACCATTTTGAGCATGCCTTTTCTTAATGTCTTGAGTTATTTTTGGTACTTTTTAGGGGAGGAATACCTTTTGCAATAATGTATCCCTTCCCTGATCTAGGGTGGGT